TGTAACTTAAAAGTTAGCCATTAAAGCTGATTAAGGTGAAGGCGGTTATAATCTTTACCGCAAAAAAATAAAATAAAGTAAAATGCAATGAATAAATATGATGCATCTCTTATTGGACATCCCCCATCAGGTCATAGGCCCCATTTTAAAAAAATGTTTCTAAATTAAACATTTTTTGTCCTTTTCCCATCTCTCTCTCTCTCTCTCTCTCTCTCTCTCTTCCATCCTTCTCCCTTGTTGCGTTCAAGTGAAGAATTATGTAAATTAATAAAAATATTTTTTACAGGTAATTAAACTAATATTATACTATCTTACCCCCCCCCCTCCTTTCTAAATGATTTTCTATAATTATGCTTTATTACATGAGGCATAGGGTGGGATTGGGAGGGGGTTATCTTGGCTAAAGCCTAACGCTGAGAATTGTGGGAATGTGGAAAGGGGGGGGGGGGTATTCTGGGCTAAAGCTGAGAAGGAGAAAGAAAATAAACGAGACTCCCAAGTAGTTTAACTGAGGCAATGACTTGTGGATAATACCCGGACAGCGGGGAGGGAGAGGGATTAGGCCGGTGGGGGAGCGTCAGTCTTAAATCTAAACGCTGCGGATTTCGGAGCTCAAAGGTTTAAAATATCAAGAGGAAAAAAAAAAGTAACGGAGGGGGGGGGGGGGAAATCGAAGAAGTTTATCGATTCCAATGCCACATCTTCCACTACAACGGCCAGGCGACAGGGCCGCTGTCCACTGCAGATGGCTTTCGGGGCTGCAGGGATGAAGACAACAAAATCGATATCTCTTCCCCTTTTGGCCACGTTGCCATGACAACAGACCGACGGATGACGTAGGTGATATGACACCCCGGCCACGGAAAATAGCCGTTGGGAATTATGGGAGAAGTAGTTTTCATCTCTGTTCAACGATGGGTTTGGGGGATGGGGAGGAGTGGGGGGGGGGGGGGGGGGGGGGTTGGACATTTGATAACATTTTATTACGTAATGCTTATGATTAGTTACATCAAAACACAACATGGTGTATTCCGTGATACTTTGGTTACGACATATGGTCCATCCACATTTGGTCTGATATGGACATTTCGTCCACCAACGACAGTTTATCTCTCAACGACATTTGGTCTGTCAATTAGTTTTTATTTTTAGCCAGCCTTCTCGTAAAACCGAACACATAAAATCTTAGATTTGGGAGTGATTTATACATAATTTAGTTCTACGGAATTAATTAATATGCTGATAGAAAAAAAATATTAATTAATTAAGGACCTAAAGTCTTTGTGCTGCTAGGGTACTATAAAAAAACACATTTTCTGTACAGCACCTTCCGTTATTCTTTACTTACATAAAAAAAAATATTCTAATTCGAACCCGCAGTCTTGTTTTCAGAATAAACAGCCCGATAATTTTAATAATTCACCCCCCCCCCCCGAGATATTTGTACTAAGGCAACGGTACCTAATAACATTACGTCCCTTTTCATTATCACTGGGTTTCTGTGTTTCCATATATAGCCTCAGCAAGAGATGCTAGGATAACATTACAATCAATAATATTGTTACACTAGCTCCGAGTTATATCTTATTTCTATTAGCCCTGAGTTTTAGGTATCGTATTTCTTTTTTTTCCGTTAAGAATTGATTTTGTACAAAATATTCTTGAATGGTACACATTTTCATCAGAATATTTAAAACATAAAACCTAAGAAAGAAAATTGCACGCATAAATAATAAATATTCTTTTAAGTGTGCACCAGGGGATGCACCGCTTGGCACCAGTGCCACTGCAAAAGCATTTGGTTATTCGCGAACTTCAATAAACCGTTGTTTTGTTCAGCCATGATCATACACCACGTATTAAGTGTCCTTGACTATGGGCGCATACATTTTGTTTGCTATAAGAAAAATGTAATAATACACAGTGAGTTCATTTGGTTTATTACAACAATAAACATATCTTTAAGTATAGTGAGTATATTGCAGTTGAGTCTAGAAAATCTAGATCTAGATTCTAGCTCTAGACTAGAGTACTCAACGCCACGCTACACTTAGAATTTATCTATTAGAGTCTAGATCTAGATAGATCTAAATCTAGATCTAGAATCTATATCTAATCTAGAATCTCTAGTCTAAAGAAAATCCAGATCTGTCTCTAGATCTAGACTCTAGGTCCTAAATTTCTAGATTCTTCTAGATCTAGATCTAAAAATCGCAAACTTACTTAGGTCGAGACTTCTAGTCTAGGTTCTAGCCTAGAATAGATCTAGATTCTAGATGTCTACAAAGATATTTAAATCTAGTCTAGCTAGATTTAGAATCTAAATCTATTTATCTAGATCTAGTACAAACAGTAAAAGCCGACAGAGATGATAATTGATAATTAACTAGGCCCTAAGCTATACCAGATTATGTTCGTTATGTGCAACTTTGAGTAAGTTTAACTTTGGTTATAAAATGTAATTTCAAATCACTAAAAGTAGTTAAACATATTTTTAATTTTATATTAAAACCGCAGAATCTAGTCCGATGCCGCCATGCTGCTAATGAAAGGCCTAACTAAAGTAGGTCAGTCGAAAAGTTAAAAATAGGATACTTTTGCTGGGCATGTTCACGATTCTGTGGATTTGTTTTTTGCAATTTTAGCCAATAAAGTGGATCTCTAGAAATAGAAACTATCATTTATAAAATTATGTCAATAAACACATGTCCAGATGTATAAGATGCTGTAATAATACGTGATCCAGTTTAAAAAATAATAAGGCAACACTAAGAAAAGGCATTTTAGGTAGCCTTCACTAGGCTATCATCGTTCACTAACCTAGCAGTGACGCGACGCGTAAATGTGTAGTTGCACAGCACGTAGATCCATGTAAACTTGGCTTGTTGTTGAAGAGGCCTAGCCTAGACTGTTTAGACTAGCATGGGGTGGGTTGAGAGTATTCTTATTCAATCGACTGAACCGCTACCCTATTGGGAATTTTAAGTAGGGGCAGCTTAGCTCAAGTCAACAATAAAATAAAATAAATATAAAGTTATAAAGCAACATTTTCAGCAAAATGAAACCTCGATGGCGTAATATTTAGTACCACACGCCTGTGTTAACGCAATGAATTTGAATCAATGTTTTAGTTTGAGATTGTAAAAGAAAAAATTTAATTAAGAAAAAGAAAGAGTTATTTCCTGCTATATTTAGCCGTCGCACTGATCTATTACTTTCCCACGGTTTCGAATCTTTTAGGCCCGTGCCAGTACTCAGGTAAAATTCAATATAGCTATATAATGATACACCTATTTTGTAACAATACTGTGCAGCTATTCAATAGCCCCCTAGTAGCCTAGCAGAAAGCATACTGGTTACCTCATGAATAATATATATATTTTGCAAATCAATTCAAGGCATATAGATCTGGCGAAGACTTAATTCGAGTGTGCAAACTCAAAACTTCCCCCTTCCTCGTACTTTTTTTTATATTTGAAATACCTGGCCTATAGCCAATCTTATCTTTTTCTTCCGTCAATAATTTGACTTTGCCCTCGAGTATTATTTCGCAGCGGGTAAAAAATAGATTGACATAGAGCGAAACACAAAGTTGTTTGAAACAGACTATAGTAACTATTTTAGCAACGAACTGACCCACAATACCGTGTTCAGTTTCGCCGCTGTGTTTGGCTAAGGCTAGGCTAAGTTTTCACGATACACGAGGAGCGACGCGTTTCTCCAACGACGACCAAGTGTAGGGCTCTGACGTCACACGCCAAATGTTGAAGCGTGTTCCACAGGAGGCGAACTTGGCTAGGCACTTTTTTTTTTATTTCTCTACACGTCGGTGTTCGTATGGTACAACTTCTAGCCTAGGCCATAGTGTTATTCTGTGTTCTCCGTTTGAAGTCCAAGCGGTTTTGCGAGACATGGAGTTTTAACTTATGGAAACCATGTAGTTTTGTCGGAGACATGGTACGGGAAACTAGATACTTGATTGTGCGAAATTTGCCAGAAAATTGCACAGAAGAGACTGTTATTGAACATTTTCAGCGGTGAGTAAAATATTTTAAAATAATAGCCTGAGTACTTAGACTAGATAGAATAGAACTAGTCTAGAACCTAGATTTAACTACATTCTAGATCTAAAGTCTATATCATATATGATAGAGCTGCTTTCGTAATAAGAATAGAGTCAATAGAGTCAATATCTAGATCTCTAGGTGAGAGGTAAAAATTAAAAACAATATTAATGTACACTAGACTGTGACTAGAGTAGAGTCTAGGCCTAAGTCCTAAAAATTGCTAAATTCTAAATTGTGTGAATTAGCTACTGAACTGAAGGCTAAATCTAGACTCTGGATCTTGAGTCTAGACCAAGATCTATAATTAAAATTAGATCTAGAATCTAGAATCTAGATGTGTAACGTGAGACTTCTACTACTTTTTGGGCACTTTGTCTCTTATGTTTATGAATTTTTTTAGTCCAGTCACTGTTAATAGATCTACTAGGTAGTCTATAGATTTCTATTTCTAGACCCTAGGACTCAAGACTATCTCAAGGACTACCTAGATCTAGAATCTAGACTAGATTTCTAGTTAGTTTTACTCAAGTTGAAAGCTGTTCACATAGAATTAAAGAAGATTGTATCTAGATTTCTAGATCTAGAGAAATCTGTTAATCTACTCTAGCTGTATAGATAGATCTAGGTGTAGAACCTCAGTTATTTATTAAAACCTCTTAAAATAACAAGAATAGGCCTGATATTGGTACTTACCAAGTGCCATATGGCATGCTTATGTCCTACAAAAAAAAGTATTATAGCAACAGGGTAATAAAACAACTCAATAGTATGGCAGCTAGCTGCTAAAATTATAGGACTTTTGACATCTATTCTAATTTCTAGTCTATAATTCTGTCTTGCATTTTAGGCAATCTTTCTTTTTGATCTAATGCCTAATTTTCTAGGGTTATCAATGATAATGCTATTGTTAGTTTTTACCTTTTAATTTTTGTATTTTTAAAATTAACTACAGGACATCATAAGTTCATATTGCTAGAGAAAAATGTCATCTGCCTGCATTGTTTATGTAGGTTTTAATGTACATGAAAAATTATAGCTGAATCAGTGGAGTAGATCTAACCAATGTAATTAAGTTATTTGGTTTAATTGAGCTTGTCATTCTAGTTAATTAGAATTTGATTTATGGACTTGATAATTCATAGTTAACACTATGCATGGTTTATATATTAAGTATAATTTAATAGGCCTATAGTTATTTAATACTTTGAGGATTGGAATTTGCTAAAGTGACTAGCTTAATAAACTCAAGAAAGATGTCTTTAGAAATTAAAACCTTTAAATGCTTTTGTTAATAGTGTGGTGTTTGATATATCATGTTTGATGGTTAAATGTATTAGAATTTGGGTGTTGTGTGTGCTGTTTTGATGCAAGCAACTTGGGAATGTAAAAATTGATACCTTTCAGTAGAATTGCTACTGGTTAGTAACCAGTAGAATTGCTACTGGTTAGTAACGATTCTAAATTCTTGTAATGCAGTGTTGCTTTTTGCTAGTACCAACCAAGTGATGCAGCCAAGATAGATTAAAAACTATAGTGCCTTGCCAGCGGTAGCCAGCAGTTAGAGTTCATAGAAATTATGTCTTACTATTGTTAATATGGTTTTAAGTTTTAGTACTCATAGGTTTTTACTTAACATTACAGCAATATCAGTAGTATTTATTGGTTGATGATGACAAAATCTGCTCCCTCTTCTGATTACTTTGAAGAATGCAGCGCTCGTCTGAAATACCAGCTACTATAAATTTGTATTAATTACTAACCCCACTGCTATAGCTGATTCCTTCATGGGACAGATAAAGGGTGATATTGCACACCAAACTATTCTGTGATTTTAGTTTTAATATTTAATCAGACATACATTATATCAGTTCCCTATGACAGTTTATCTTAGCATCACTATCTTTAATACATGTGATGCAGCCTGTTTGCATTAGGTAATAAATTATAGCAATATTTCCAACAAATTGTAAGAAAGGGTTATATTATTGTTTTGTAATAATATTGCCTTTTATTTCATTGTAAAGGGGAGTTACCTATTTTCACCAATTACCAAGAGGACTTACCTGTACTTTTTAGCTACGTTGAAATGGGGAAAGAAAACATTTACATGGTTTTTTTTAAAATAATGACAATTTTTTCCCACTATTTGTGAAGAATGCAGCATTTCTCTGAAAACTGATTCTCAAAACACTTCAATCTATACAAAGAATTTTTTAAATTTCTGATCTTTTGTTACATACTAGTACATGCAGATTTTTATGGATACGAAAATGCTAGTAGGATTATTTTTACTAATTTTTAGGGAAACATCTTATTGATTTTTAAGAATTGGAGCTAGGTTCATGAAACATGTCATGCAATTTGAAGCACATTTGGTAATCATTGTTTTATTTTATCTTTTACTGCCTTAGAAATAGTTAATGATGACAATATCTGCTCCCTCTTCTGATTTATTTGAGGAATGCAGCGCTCGTCTGAAAACTGATTTTAAAATAGTAAGCTTATTTTGAGAACTAAAAATTACTTTTATCTAGTTGCATCTAGCTTTTTTTTTAGAGCTACTTAGCAGAAGGCTGGGTAGTGTAACCAATAGTAATTTCCCACTATAATAGCACAGTCATGTGTCAAGGGCTTAAAAATGGCTTTTTCTGTATAACTTAGAATGTCTTTTGTAGATGAAGTAAGTTGTCTTTTTTTTCAAACTTCGCTGTTAGTTATGTAAGATAAGAGACATATCTGTAAACTTGAAGAATCAACATTAACACTTAAGTTGTAATTATTGATGATGACAAAATCTGCTCCCTCTTCTGATTTACTTTGAAGAATGCAGCGCTCGTCTGAAAAAAAAGCTTTATAAATCTTAGTAAGACATTAAAGTTGTCTGCAATTTGTCATGTCATATATGTTTATTTATCTTGATGCTTTGATAAGAATGTGCTAATATTAGCCAGTTTCTTGTTCTTAAATTCATCTGTGCATTGATAATACAGTTGGGTATAACCTTTAAAATGATTGATGATGACAAAATCTGCTCCCTCTTCTGATTTACTTTGAAGAATGCAGCGCTCGTCTGAAAAAATAAAAAGCTTTATTAATCTCAGTAAGACATTTAAGTTATCTGCAGTTTGTCTTTATAAGTTATTGAGGGGACATGCGCAAAAATAACCCAACAAAAAACAATTTGTTTAAAATATAATTCTTAAGACCCTTTTATTTTAAAAATAATTTTTTTTTCCCAATCATACATGCTCTCGACAAAAAGTTTAATATCCGTAATCATATTGTAATTGGATCATTGGAAAGCTGGATTTCTCATATATTTGATAATCACATTTTCCATCATCTCGAAAACACCAGAAGCTTAAGTACACATAGGTTTTTTAATTTACATTTACTTCAATATTACTAGTATTTATTGGTTGATGATGACACAATCTGCTCCCTCTTCTGATTGCTTTGAAGAATGCAGCGCTCGTCTGAAAAAAACTAATTAAGCAAGAATTGTGCACATTTTTTTTTTTTTTAATATATGTAGCACTCTTCTGAAAACTTTAATTGATCTCTTAGGGTGAATTTTAGAATAATAACGATTTCAAAGATACCATTAGAAAATCATGATATACTTTATTATCATTTCTGCATATTTGTAAAAAAAACTGTTTGAGATAAATCATAAATATAATGGGTTGATGATGACAAATTCTGCTCCCTCTTCTGACTTTCTCTGAGGAGTGCAGCGCTCGTCTGACAACCATTTCTAGTTGTGTAGGTTTTTTTAAAAATCATATCAGCTTCTGTGTTTTTAGACTTTGTGTAGACTACTTACATATATTGTTTTAGAAAATAATACTCTATTACCAAGTCGATAAGATTATTATAAAGCTTTTTTATTTTCTGAACGTAAACAATGGATGTTGTGTGATTACAATTTAAAACCCATTATTTTTTATAACAGTTTTTCATGTTTGTCAACTGTAAATGGTAGACATTATCACTTGCCAAACATGGAATATTTAGCTTGATACATCTTTACATTACTTACATTTTACATGCTTGGGCAATTTAATATTTATAGTCTTGTTTCTATTTACTTAAATTATCATCTAATCTTAGTACTTTTATGATTACTGAACATGTATGTTCATGTTCCTTTAAAAAAAATAACATCATAAACTTGTCGACAGAGACAAATATTTATTAAAATAAGTTTGGTGTTTATGATGACACAATCTGCTCCCTCTTCTGATAAACATTTGAAGAATGCAGCGCTCGTCTGACAATACCAAATTCATTTCTAATTCTGTCAATCTAATCATTCTTAATGTTACTTCTTGGCTGGTAACCATATGAGTTACACATGTATATATTAACCAATTGATTAATACAGTATAATAATTCTGTATGTGTCAAGTTAAAAATAAGAATATGTTGAGGATGGTGAATTTTGCAAAAAGCTGCTCTCAGTACTCTAACATTGAGTTAAAATTAAACAGTATGTATTACTGTTATTAGTTCCCAGATTTATTGTTTTCCCCATGTATGTCACTTCAAACCCTGATACAGCCTTGGTGGATACTCAGTGAATTACAAACAACACTTAGTTGGCTTTTCAAAAAATGTAGGCCTATTCAGATTTTTTTATAATCAATATTCTCAACAGGGGTAACATTTATAATTGGGGTAATCAGTGTGCTGAATCAGACGCAAATTACTTAGCAAGGTTGAGTATTGATCTAAATTCCTCGTCTGGAAGTTTTTTTCAGGGATTCTGAGATTTTGTCTCTGTATTTGTCAAATACTTATTTTTTTTAACAATCAGGTGTGTAATGCCTTCTTTATGATCTTTTTATCAACATAGAAGTAGATTGTCCGCAGGCTTGTTGATATACTTTTTACAAGTTTATATTTGATTTATGCCCCAGCTGAAGTATTTAATGTTCTCTTCTAAACTGATTAATTCAAAGGCCTAGCGTACACTCGAAATAAAAATTTAGTTTTTGTAACTTGCTGCTGTTCATATAAATTAATCTGCTTGTTATGTTTGTGTCGCCGTGTGTATTTTCTTCTTAATAGATTCAAGCTGTTGTTTCGTGCTGACTGCATCATCTTTGGGTCGATACAATCTCTATCCATGTTAATTATTGTTTTTGAACTATTGAAACAGGTCCCCCACCAGCTTCTAAATCCATTACATAAACATTCTGTAGTGCCATTACATGCCTACTCCAAGACTGTACTATTTTCTGAAGAGTTTTATTTTTCTCTGATACTGTCTGATTAAACTCAACATGGCGCATTGTACAAAGAAGCGCGGCGTGTCAACCAAGACCATGATTGAACATGGCCGCCAGCAAATGGACAGTCACAAGCTGGTAGTCGATAGAGGGGCTACGTCCGCCATTACTAGCTCAGTATCAGCTTAGAAATCCCGATACGTGCAAACTGTATCACGAACAACACAGTCACCAACCAGCCGTTGGTTTGGGTAAAAGCTGGCTGTAGAACGGAGAATATTGATTTCCCCCATTCCATAGTTTAGAATACACGACCACATTGAATAGAAGCTAGAGAGGAAAAAGAAGCACTGAAGGGGTAACCGGATTCAGCCAGCTAAGGGTTTGCTTGTCTAGCTTGTTAAAAAGGCTTGGCAGCTTGCCCGGTCTTCTCCTTCCCCTCCCTTCTCATACCGCCACTTCCCCCCACATCTGCTTTCTTTCTCAGTATTACTTTTCCCCCATTCCCCAGTTTTAGCCTCAGCCCCATCCCCCCTGCCCTTGTAATGTTCTTAACACGAACACGCTGGCAGACCACAGTGAGCGATCGATGGAGGTGGGGCGGGAGAGGTTGGTGAGGGGAAAACAAAATCAGTGTAGGCCTAGGGTTCAGAAGTTAAAGAGCGAGAGACGGAGAAGTGGGGGAGGGGGGAATCATTTTTTTTGCTTTTGCTTGTCAGCCACATGTTCTATAGAGCCCCTTCCTCACATCAGCCCCGCGATGGACAGACAGGAAAGCATAATTAGATGGTCTCCATGACAACCTCTGATTAATGGATGGTTAAAGTTCTTCGTCCCCAACCATATTTCTTTATTTTAAAGGGTTTGCTGGGTGGGGGGGGGTGTAATATACTGAATTCTAATAGTTCCAGAACTTGTTTGTTTTTGTCCTGTTGTGGTCAGTATTATTGTGTTTGTAAAAAGAGTTATCGTTAATGGGGTTGTTCGCATTTAGAAACATTTAAAAATATATTGAAATAGTTTTACAGGTACACCAGTTTTGCAATCACTAGATCAACGCGACTGTTTCTGTGGTGCACACTTTATTTGTAACAGCCTCCAAGTTACACAAAAGCCGAGTTTGTATCTCCTTTCGTCCTAAACGTGTATCCCCCCCCTCCATCCAACTCAGTGTTCTAGCCAAGCCGTGTAGTTGGGATGGGTTGGGCGAACTCGTGATGGTGAGTCATAACCAACATTGACTATCCGCAAGCTGTAGCCTAGAATACTGAGCGGCGGTGTTTGACCTGAGCACACATTCAGGTGAGAACGAAACTGTACTACCTCGACCAGAAGTTCACAGCGTGTCCTTCGCCTCTTAGCCTAGGTCTTCCAGTTACGTTGCGCCGTCTGTTTATTTGACCTTGTTTTTCTTTTCCCTCTCCCACAAGAAGCATAGGCCTTTTTTTTTTCAAGTTATAGGCCTAGCCAGAAAAAAAAACAACTAAATGCAACATTTAAAACCATCGCTTGTTTTAGATAGTAGCCCTTTATGTATATTTTAAATTTATCTTGTCAAAGTGTAACGCAAAGAATTCGCATAGGACCGACGCATTTGATAAACTCAGTCGGCTGTTGCATTTGTAGGCTGCTCTGTTTATGAGCGACGTTTACCAGACTAAAGCTAGACTAGTGTGCAGCTTCAGTCTGGTTTTTTTATCCTGACATTTGGACAGAAACATACTTATCAGCAAGAATAATACACAATAGTATTAAACTGATGGCTCCAAGTTACTTTCACATTTTAGACACTAAGACTGTTTTCAGATTTATTAACAGCAAACATGCATGGCTTTTCCCAGCTGTTTAGAGCTAGATCATTTCTGTTTTTCTTTGTATGAACAGAGATCGGGACTAGTACTGTTTCCTGTTGGTGTCATTGTAGCGTTGGAACATAATGTTCTAGACTACTTCATTTAAAAAAAATAAAACTTTCGTCGATTACCCTACACTTATCGGCAATGCTTCCACTTGCCCCCAGTGTTCCTTTTTAAAAATTCTGTATTACAAATATAGAATGTTTTATCTTTCTAATGGCTGCTGGGCGTTATCTCTCGCTTTACGATAAAAGGCGGAAAAGGTTTCTACCGGTACCCCGTATTTACCTTGTTCTGCACGTTGTTTCTTATATTAGGCATAGGATCGACTAGCAATGGCCGATCTGGTTTTGAGGGGTTATTAAATATATTTGGGCTCGTTGGGTTGTCATCAAACGAGACTGGGGTGTTTACAGTTCAAATGTCGGGGCTGTTTCTACTGTACATTTATAATTTGTATTCATTCAGTTTTTTTAAACCATTCCCCACATACCGTTACTACTGTACACGGAAATGTACTTACATTTTAAATTCAAATAAATCATCCTCAGTTTATGATCCGAGTAGGCACTAGTCCTTAAAATAGTGATTTTTTAAAATAAATGTATCTTGTATTCAGTGCCGCTCTCTTCATTTCAAGTAGATCTAGATCTATATCTGCTACAACTAATCGTTACATACCAACCGTCTTTTTAATCCATATTGCCGCCATGCTGTTTTCCACGTTTTTCTCTCCTTAAATCATATTTCCCTTGCCTTTGCTGCCTCAAAAAATCGATACATCTGACATCAGCAGCAGAAATAACTAGAGATTTCTTCCAGCTCTAGAATCTGCTGGGAGATTTAGCTGTGAGGTTACTGTAAACATTTCTTCTTTTGGTCTGTCCTTCACTAACTTTCTATGCTTACACTTTTTTTTACATCATTGTTAAAAAACAGAGACCCTGGCCAATTAATATTTAAAATGTTGTTCTTTTTAATGATTATTATTTTATGCATAATCTCTCATTAAATATTCTGATGTTATCCTGAAACATCTATCCTTTCCTATACCCATATTTAAAATAGTTAATACAAGTTTTGTAACAAATTGAATGTTTTATTAATGTCCAACCTTAACTGGTTTTGTTTGGGGTATTTCAAAGACATTAGATTTTAAAAAGCAGCTTCAATGATATTTGGATTCCTCCCAAACCAAAAATAGGAAATTCTGGAATCTAATATGTATGTTTTGGCAAATATTCAGCAATAATTTTCGGAGCTACCACTATAGCTGCCTGTAAAGCAGCATACAGTGACTATTTTTAAAATACTTGCTCATAATTTTGTATTAATTTAATTTTGTTCTAGTACTTGAATAGGTCAAACATACCATTTATCTTGGCTGAATATTGATGACAGCTCACTAAATTGCTTGCATTAGAGAATTTTTATGCAAAGTTAAATATTTAAATAGGTTATGGCATTCTTTTATTGCATGCATTCTTGTTTGAAAGACAATGATAAGTTGAAAAAACAAAACCTAGTTAGGAAAGGTTGAACCCAGTAATTTAACACACAAAGCTGTTGTTTTTTTTGTTGATTATTAAAAGTTGTAAATTTTATTCCTTTGTTAATTTAAAAAAAATCTTCATATTTTCCTGTTTATTTTTTAGGTACGGAAGGATCCAAAGTGTCAAGCTTCAGGCAGCCAAGGATAATGAATCTGGCAGCACAGCAACTGTGGCCTTTAATGACATTAAATCAGCTGCAAAGGCTCATAATGCTAAAAATATTTTGGGGGAGTTGACCTTAAGGACAGACTACTGGGAGGCATCTACTAGCACCCCTGTAATCGCCACACCCCCAGCAACAAGTACAAATGCAAATCGCAGTGCAAACTACACCAGCGCTACAGCTGCATCAACAAGACCTGTGTCCACTTTTACTAATTGGACTAAGGGGTGAGCCTTTATTTTAATTTTGCATGCAGCCTTTACCTAACTTTTTCAACATAAACTTTTTCTGTGTGCTTACAACAAGCCTACTAGAAATTTAAAAAGTCATAATAAACCAAATGGTTTTAATTTTTTTTTTTACGTACATACACCAGTTGTTAGATATAATATTCATAGCTTTCACTTGAAGTTTGTTTGCTATCATCTTCTTTTCAATGTATATTTACTGATTGTTTGAATATAAGGTTTGCCCTAGTAAAATATCCCAAGAAAAAAATTCGTAAAAGATAGTTATATATATTTTTTTTAAATATCTCATTCAGCCAAGTATATCCTAACTCCTCAGTTTTTATAACACAGGTTTTATAAAACAGTTAAAAATGTTTTAGTACTTTGCTCTCGCTATAAATCATTTTGTTCGTAGCTTAATAACACATTTCTATCACCATAATAATTTTTTTCAAGCAAAAACTCTTGTATTTTTGTATCTGTATTTTATCCTTAACTCACAAAAAAGGCTTTTATTTAACTTTTTAAAAAAATCTTTAGTACCTCCAGTTTCTAAAAGCTACAATGTTTATTTCATTGTTTCTTTGGATTATGTTTTTTGCGTGTTTCTTTCCATCATTTGGATATAATTTTATACAATGATTTTGCTTGTTCTTCAAGAGCTTTGTTAGTGAAAGTGATTTGTGGTTTCATACTTATAATGCATAGAGTTATAGTTATGTAGTGTTTTCTTGGAGTTATATTATCAGTTTGCTGCTTATTTTTCCCTGTGGAGTATACTTGTGCTATGGAGTAATATGTACACATCCAGTGGAGTAATATACATGTTTATAATCTAGTGGGAGTATACCAGTGCCTGGACAAGTGGAGTAAACAAGTTGCCATCTATTGGAGTATTAATCATATCAAACTTATGGAGTACTAGTTGCAACAGGATTTGTTACTATTGGATAAAATATATCATTTACGGATTATACTTGAAAATCCTTGGGGGAATAGACAGCCTGAGAAGAAGCTGTGGATTGTACTTATTTCAGGATTATAATTTGAAACTTGGATATGTTTATGTTTAAATATAAATAGTGATATGTTTGGTAGATAACTTAACCATGTGGAATAGATTTTTTAAGTGCACATGAACATCAACAGTTTTTCTTAGTATAAAAATAAAAAACCTCCACTTGTTGCAATTAAAACCAAACTTGACATGCAAGAAACCTTTTAAGGTATTTTAACTTGTTCTTTAAACATCTTAGTACAATCTAATCATAATTATGTATAGAATTATAGTTCAAAATATTACATTCTCCAAAATGTATTTTTTAAAAATTGTATTTAGGCCAAGCTTCAAGTTTTTGAAATAATAGTTTCATTATCACTTAAAATAATTGTTGAAAGCACTCTTTTGCCTTTTCTATAAGTTAGTTAACTTAAAATTTATTAATAAAAAAGTGTTAATTAAACAATTTAAAAATAATATAATGCTTTTGATAAATAGATCTACATCTTTATCATAGAATTTACATGGTGGGAAGATTACTTGTCTCCAGTGTTTTTAACTAACTCGCTTAGTGGATTTAGTTGTTGAACTACAATTATTTAAATTCTTCACAAAATATCCATACTTATGAGGCCTAAGCTTATGCTGACTCCTACATTGTTGCTGACTAGATTGAGGTCTGCCAACCTTTTCTTAATTTAATTCCAGAAATAGACAGCTTGAAATGTGTTCATTCTTTTTATAGTCTATTTTTAATTTTTAAATTTTTTAATGCAGTGTTTGGTTGTAATAAACAGCTGGACTAATACTTTAAATTTTTTGTTTTAAATTTATGTTGCAGTCTTTGTCCACATATCTAATCAAGTAATCAAGTTCGTTTTTTCTTCCTTAGATTTTCTTCCTTAGTTAACATAATCCTACAAATGTGTTTACATTTAAGACAGACATTGATGTTAAAATTTATTAGAAGTGGAGAATTAAGGTCACACTTTAATAACTAACACTTATATATTTTCACCTGGCCTAGCTTTTTGCGCATAGCTCTTTAATGTGGACCTAACTTCTGTGAATATTATTTTGCAATTGGTCAGGCTTAAACTGACTTTATAATAAGTATTTGGATCTGATGTCGAAATGGAAACCAAGATCCAACTAGGCGTTGTAATGTACTGAGAACCTACAAACACTGACCCATGAAATGTTTGCCACTGTAGCATTCATATTCTCTCCTTCTGACTCTTCAAATGAGATAATCTGGAATCATTTGATGAATGCATAGTAATAGTACAATTTCCACTTGATTTGATGCGGCATTAAGTTTTACTTTTCTAATGAGGCTTTAATAACCATAGAACCCCTTGGGCAGTGGAGTTCATGATATTCACTTTGTTCATGGTGTTTACATTGCACAATCAGGTCCCTGGTGCTCACATTTAGCATGATACTCACAATGTGATTTAACATTCATGATACCTTGTGCAGTCATGTTCATGATACTTTGTGCAGTTTTTGTACATTACATCCACTTTGTGGAGTCTTGTTTTGTTCATGATACTCACTTAGTGCACTCATGTTCATGATACTCATTTGTGTTCATAACACATTGTGCAGTCATGTACTTAAGACACTTGGCAGTCATGTTCGTGATACTTACATTGTGCGGTCATGTTCATGATACTCATTTGTGTGAAGTCATGTTCATAATACTCATTTGTGTGCAGTCCTGTTCATGATACTTACATTGTGCGGTCATGTTCATAATACTCATTTGTGTGCAGTCCTGTTCATGATACTTACATTGTGCTGTCATGTTCATGATACTCATTTGTGTGTGTGCTGTCATGTTCATGATACTCATTTGTGTGCTGTCATGTTCATGATACTCATTTGTGTGCAGTCCTGTTCATGATACTTACATTGTGCTGTCATGTTCACGATACTCATTTGTGTGTGTGCTGTCGTGTTCATGATACTCATTTGTGTGCAGACATGTTCATGATACTTACATTGTGCAGTCATGTTCATGATACTTACATTGTGCGGTCATGTTCATGATACTCATTTGTGTGCAGGCATGTTCATGATACTCATTTGTGTACAGTCATGTTCATGATACTCATTTGTGTGCAGGCATGTTCATGATACTTACATTGTGCAGGCATATTCATGATACTCACTGAGGGCAGTAATATGTATTCGCCATGTTGCTAAAGACAGCGCGCTGTGTGCACGATCTTATTTAAACCTCTGGATTCAGCGCTGTAATATCACATAGAAAATGAAAGACGCCGTTAGCAATAACTAGGCGAGCCGGGGCTTGGCCAGAGCAGCCACGAAAATCGATACGCGCTTGACATTTTTACTCGTAAACAAGTTTCTAGATCGATGGTCGTCATGATTAGATTCCCCCGAGGGCAGGCTTCGCATAGCTACGTGTAAAAGAACGGGAGAAATAGCGCACAGAGTGAGGTAACGGAGGGGGGGGGAAGGACATGGGCTACACCCGGAATCTTTATTGTTGCGTAAACCTGTTGTCAAAATAGGCTTGCGAATGGGGTTGGCAATTTGAAACTTTTAAAATGGTACGGAGGGTCTTGTGTAGTTAATACTTTAGTAAATAGAGACTGATGCTTTGAATAGCGGGATACAATAAGTGTGAAACGCGTGATTCATCGGGTCTCACCATTATCGACTTACTCTTTTTGATGGAAGCCCCGCCCCCATTCCCCACAACACTGTCAATGGTATTACTAGGAAAGAAATGACATAATGCTGAAAGAAATGGTCGTGTTTTTGACACATGGCTGTCACCATAGATAAAAAAAAATATTTTTTTAAAAGTCTTAGTTATGTAAGCTTGTTAAACACCGTTCCACTGAAACATACTTGTGCTGATTTCTACTAATCGAGATTTCCTAATCTTGTCGACTTGTGTTACTGATAATGTGGTTATTGATTTACCATTGAACTGTCCAACCACAAAACCGGCTTTAATGTTTTTTTTTTTACTTTTAATCATTTACTTGTCCCCCAAGCTACTTGGGGTCATCCATGAATGACTTCACGCTTTTTTTGAAGATTTTTACCTACCTCCCCTCCGTCACACGTGGTCACAAAAAGCCAGACCCCCCCCCCTGAAATGACGTCATACCTAAGCCTACAACCCCCCCCTCTCAAAATTGCTGTTGAATTTTAAAGCATCGATATTTTTCCAAAATCTTGTCAGAACTCTGTCAACACAGAGTATTTTGATCAAGTCCTACTACAATTTATTAAAACCGTTTTGTAAAACGCGAAATAACGGCTAAAACCCATTTTCTAACAATGCTTTTTTATAATGCAAAAAAGTGACGTCGCACCATCTGAACCCCCCCCCCCCCCATCACACACCGTCACAAAATTACGGATCCCCCCTCTCCCCTACGAGTGTGACGTCATTAACGGACTACCCCTTGACGGTATGCAGTAGTTCTCTGTTGGAATTTTAAATGTTGTTTCTTAAATGATATTAATTGTTATGTAGCTGTAAAATAAATGTTAGTGTGAAGGTGATGTGATTATAATTTACTTTCAAATTACTTTTTTTCCTCGTCTTGGTCACATTTTAAATGTAAAATATAAATTAATAGCGCATCGCGATCGTAATTCTCTGTTAGAGAGGATCGTCGCTTGGAGGCTGGACGTCTTTTTAATGGCCAACTTGAAACTCACCCAATACAAGGGTTTAATCTTTAGAAGATTTAGTTTCATACTGCAAGTTTAAAAAAAATTATAGTTGAAAGCTGGACTGACTGATTGACATTAATAGCTATCAGCGCTGTGGGGGTAACTACCGTCACTATTCTTTGGCTATAAAACGTGGGGATTCTTATTTGTCAGACGGAAGATCTTTCACGCTCGTTACTTTTGTCTTAGAATCATCTCCTCCGGAAAGTTCCCATTTTGCTCTCTCCAGTTTTGTCAGTTAAAGTGATATCTAACCGTCTGTTTAATAGGT